AATTCAACGGTTTGTTCTACAGTGTTCTCATCCTAACATTTTTGTATTCAAAGATGTTTTGAAAAATGTACATTTGATACCTATATAAAATTGAGAAGCACTCACTTAAATACTCGCAGAACAAATATACAATTGAAAAAAAAATATTTATTAGAAATGCTATGAAACGGTAAGAAGAAAACCAAATAGACAAATTTTAATTTATACATCATACAAGTTTTTACCAGTGCCATAATACTTAAAAATTTTTCTAAATTATACTAACATTTTTAACTTCAATAAATATCATATACGTTTTTACCAGTGTTGACATTTTTTTAATAAAAACCAAACATTTTAATATCAAATTTTAATGCAAAAAAAAACTTTTTAACCTTAAAAAATATCATATATGTTTTTACCAGTGCAAAAATGTTTAAATAAAAAAAAAACATCATTTTTAACCAACCTGCAATATCTAATAAATGTGAAGGAAAATGAAGCTTTTTAAATTTAAATTTCCATATCTAAATTAATTTAATTTCAAATTTCGGGCCGCAATTCGTATACACCCCAAAAAAACTCGGGCCGCAATTCGGAAGACATTTTTACCGCGGGACGCAACTAGCCACCCATATTAAACATGCACGTAAATCGTTGATTTGAAAACATACTTACATTCTTACAAACGTTTCATTTCAGCATTATCTGATGGTTGCAGGATATTTGCTATTGACATTATAAGATCCAGAAGCAGGGGATGAAGCTGTAATTTGTAACACATTAGTTATACCTACTTATATGAATAGCGTTTATTTTGGTTAATAAATGATTGTTTAATAAGTATTAATGCTAAATTTCAAGTCGTTGGTCTGGTAATGTGAATAATGCTTCTGATGTTTTCCAATTCGTTTCGTTACCGATTATGAATTTATTGCAGCCTTGACTGATCGCGTTAACTTTTGATTTTATAAACCATTCATTTTTCAGCTATCTCCGAGATTTTTTATTCATCTTATTCTTCTTCTATACCAGATAGTTTACTATCCTAACCCCCCACCATCGCATCATGCCACAATCAATCTTTTATCTATCACACAAACATACATACACACACGTAAAGTCCCCGCTCCAACTATTACTTGATCGAAGCATTCATCGAATATGAAATATATATATATATCAATTGCAATATCTCCTAAGATAATGAAGATAATCCAATTCAGTTTTATAATAAACTAAAAATAAGTATAATTAAAATAAAATCTATTCGGCTAATACACTTTTCAATATAGCTATCTTCAAATTTTTTAATTTTTTTTAAAAATGTTTTAGTTACTAAAATATAAATAAAATATAGAATATCTATAATCTTTATCTCTGTCGATCATTTTGAGAAAAAGGAAATTGACTATCTGCACTACAACAGGAAATACCGCAATAAGTACATATTCAAGAGGTACTCTGTATACCTATTTATTATAATACTGTACAATAGATTTTTCGAATTTTCCATGACAATAAAATATGTAAATACTCTAAAATGATCATGGTTTGCAAAAAAAAGTGCTAATTTGAACTTTAATAGACACTCTGTACGAATTTTCTCTTTCAAAGTCAAAAAGTTCTTTGAGAAATAATTTGATGTTGCATTCAAATTAATGAATATCGTATGCTAATATATTGTAAGGCACGTGGTTTTTAAATAAGAATATAATAATATATGTCAGGCCCGCATCTTCATACTATTTATACTTATGTAATCACATCAAAACGCACATTCGATACAGAGTACATTTACAATTATCATTAATATCTCGTCGAAATATTGTATATTGCTGCATGTGTCACGTTGTTTGCTGCACCGAAACGACAGATCGTTGGATCTTGTCGTGGACGCACTACCGTCTGAAACGTTAGCTTAAGCTTTGTACTTTTCACGGAAAACTGCTTAACTACTCGTGGGACTAGTGAATTTTAATTAAATCACAAAATTAATTTAATCGTGGATTAAAAAAAAATAGAAAGGGTTGTAGAGGTTTATTCTTGGTGTGGTAAGTTCAGAAGGACGCAGCTGCGTGTACTGCCATTGGAAGTTAGAATTTTTCTTATTTTATTAAAAACTCGAGCCGAACTCAATTATAAACAGAACTGTTCTTATTTGCTAACTTTCAACATGATTTATTAGCTAAGTAAAAATCGAATGGGTTGACCGCGCATGGACATGTTGAAAAGTTGCAATGCTTTTCGAAGAAAATTCTAGTTGTAAAATATACGAGTAAAAAAAATATATCTACAGATTTAATATCAGTTGTAAATAATGTCAATGCTCAGTCATGAATATCCTGTAAAACGTTAGAGGGATACCTTGAGTATTTAGTATGTGGACTCGTGAAGCCTTCACCCTCTCACCATCAAGCTTACAGCAACAAGATATTCTTACTCATAATATTGTCGGTGAAAAACATATTTAATTAATTAAGAATCATGATAAAAAATGATTTCTTATTTTTCCATACACGGAATAAATCCTATTATCTAATAATCTATTATTCGTTTATATATTCAATGTTGTTTTCAAATTATTTGGGATTCTTTAACCTCGATTTGTTTTCGGAGGAAGGGGAGATATCCTTATAATCAACTTTCCCTTACCCGATCACCACCATCGATGTTTTATTTGATTTTTCATTAAGTATGGGCCCTAAAAAAGCCCAATTCAGTATTCAGAGACACGCATAATTTGATTTCATTATAAAATGATCAACATTAAAAAAATTGTAATATGTATCTTCCATTCTCGTATAATCGATTCCTTAAATATTAATTTAGGGGGGGGAGCAATCGCCACCTTCGTTCCTTCTAAACTAGGTCCCTGCATTAATTTATAATACTGTTATTAAAAACAAAACAAAAAAAAAATTTTAAAATAATTTTAAAAGTTCAATAATTCACAAGTGAGCAAATTTCCGACCACAAAATTTTAGCGCTTCCAAAAAACTGGCGCCCGAGGTAGTTGTAGTTATTTCCCCCTTTTAAATGCGGCCCTGCTCTAGATACCATTGTTTCTCATCGTTTGAGCGTCGCATAATCGTCATCGCAAAACTTGAAAGAATTGTAGAGAACGGTTCGGGTATACATACAACTGATTGTTGTACAAAAAGAAATAAAATAAAATAAAATAAAAACCATTAAACGTACCTACGCGTTTTTTCCAATTCGAATATAAAATTTAAACACAATTTTAAGCCGTTTTAACGTCATAAAAATGCACAAATGCACTGTGAGTTTACAGCTCGTACACGGGACAAAACTTATCTTAACGACGGGCTCGCGTGTGCAAGTTGTACCTGCACATACTTTGAATAAATACTGTTTACCACGTGCAAATCGTTCGTCACGTTTTATTTAACAGAAACGACGCATTACGACATTTACAATGGTGCGTAAGATCGACGACAGCCTCTGCTCTATCGCGGAATATGCAGTCGAACATCAGTTTAACGAAACTCCGGACAAAAGAAATTATTTATATGAAACCGCGAAATCTTCATTAAAAATACGTTTCCGTTTAACGGATTATCTTTATAACTTTGTTCTATAATAGTGTATAACATTATTTTTATTTCGAAGCTTTCAGGATTGTGGCGGAATAAAATTTCGGAAATATCTAAGTACTGTCGACACCGTTCGATCGTGAATTATAGTGCACCTACGCTGGCGTATTATTTAATATCAACTACTGGTATTACCGTGAACTAAGGTACAACTTCCAAAGAACCGTTGATTTCGTTAAATCGACGAGGTCCATCTGTGTGTACAGAACGCGTTCGCGAAACCTTCGTCAACGTTAACAATACGTTCAGTCGAATTAACTGCACCGTTGCGCCTTGAACATAACATAATATACCACAGCCACCGTTAGTCGTTAATTGCCATCGGATAAACCTGCCGGGCGACCGGGTAAAATTACTATTGCCTATACATAGTTGCCTAAACTTTCGCGCCAACTTGTTTTTGACGTCTCACGTAATAAGTACGTGCAATCGTGTAAGTAGACGGCGATCGACGGTCGAAAAACCCTTTGCGGCATACTTACTCGGCGGCATTCCGTTCGAACATTTAGTTCGCGGCGGCGCGTAGACGTAACGTCGTGCATTGTTTCGTTAAGCTACAACAGGTGCCAAATGGGTTGGTAGATTTGTTGCCTGTACAAGCTTAGCAGTACTATACCGTTTACGCATCAGAAAACTTACGTCTTCGATTATGCGTTTTATAACGACTCGTATCGTAAATCCGATCACCGCCCGCGATCAGGTTGTGACTCGTTGCAGATTACATTTTACCAAACGTAAAATGAATACGAACTTCGGGGTTTTTAACGTTAAGAGGACTGCAAACGGTCGGTTTTTAAAGGGTTCAGTATTACGAACATTATTTTAGGGCGTTACGTTTAAATCGACACGGTTGTCCCCAGTATATTATTTATAAATTAGTTGTACCAAATTGTATTTTTATATTTTCGTATTAAACCACAGCAGCTGATATGTATGTAACTACGAATACGTTTGTAACTAGCTTATTATCGCACACACTGTACGGAAAATGAATGGCGTAACAACATTATGCGAGTAGAATGTTATAATTATAATATTTCAGGTGTTCCCATACTTTCTGTTGCGCGCTGAGTGCTACTATTTTGGACCGTTCGTAATAATTTCATTACCTGACCTAATCGACCGATCTCTTTTTTGTTCGTCACCACACAACCGAGGGGACATGGTTAAACTAATATTGTTAAACCAATCCGCAACAAATTAAATTCATCCACAACGATGTTTACGTCACAATTTTTTTTTTTTTTTTTTTTAAACAAATACCGCTCGGTTGACAGACGAACACGGTATGATATCTGCCGTATTTACAACCACCCCCAGAAACGTATTGTAATAATTATTCGTATAATTTATGTGTGTGTATGTTTGTATTTCTATTATTTTACTTAAATTTTTTTTTTCCAGTTCCAACGACGAAACCCAGTACGAGTTGGAGGACAGAGCACAAAGCGGCTCGCACGCTGGGAATTATCATGGGCGTATTCCTATTGTGTTGGTTGCCGTTTTTTCTTTGGTAAGAATACAATTCTATACATATAATTGCCATTATCATCATCGTATTCCAATTTATCTCGGAAAAAACAGAATAAATGCTTTGCGTAAAATAAAATCACACTAATTAAAATATTTACTCGTGTACGGGTAAACACCATAAAAAAAGGTTAAGAGTCCTCCGGAAAAAAAAATCGTCTACGGCACTGATACGAGAACAGATAAAATAATTCAGGTGACGGATTCCAACCGGGAACACGACAGTTATGCGTAATCGTGTGACGTAACAATGTCAATCATAGCCGCACTAACCGAGGGTTAAAAGAACAAGGTCGGCTGAAAAAAATAGAATGGCTTTATAAATAAAATCTCAGAAAAAATTATCTTAAAAATTTTACAATACTAATTTATTGTAAACAGTATATAACATGTTTTAAACGATAGCTGAAAATAATTTTAATAGCATTTGTGATGTTTAACTAAACTCTGGGCAGTGTTCAGTTATATGATTTAGGAGGGGGGAGGTGGTAGCAAATTTGTTTGTATAATATATGTGGCCAAATAGGTCAGAGTGGACCTGTATACATATTGTATGCACTGCACACACGCACATGATTCTGTGACATGGACAACGAAGCGAGCGACCGTGACCTAGTCTCGTCCTGAAATCATATTATCACAGAAGAGTTGGGGGCTAAATAATATTATTAATTACCAAGAATTATCGGGATCGCTGATTCTGTGACATCAAATCAACATCGAACCGAAACCATTTAGACGATTAATTAATTTTATCATCATTACACGACTAAACCTTTGCACTCCGTGCACCATAAATTGTTAATCAATTGATTCCAACACATTTTACACGCACACAGATTGGATTTCTGCCACGGGACTGAAAAGTTATTCAGGGTAAAAATTGATTTCTTTACAGGTGTATGTCTTTGGGCCGAGTTCAGATTCACGCCTTTAATAAAAATACAACCCTATAACAGTAGTATTTCCAATATTTTGAATGTTTAGTGCAATATGCAACATAAATTATCGTTCTCGGTTTCGATTGTTATTATTCACAACATCTGCATAATATATGACACACGAACATATTTAGAAACTTTAAGCCAGTGGATCCCAAATTTTGTTCCGCATATTGATGTCAGTTGCGTAAGACGGTAGTAATTTTATCGAAATTATTAAATTCGTAGTCGTTAGAACTTGTCGAGTGTTTTTCAAATTATTGAAAATTTACTTTGCATAACGTATAAATGTGAACAATCCTACTGCTCTGCCTACTGTTGAATGAAAAACAAAAATAGCCGGTGGTCGGCGAAAACAGGCGAAAACCCTAATGCCGTGCCGATGGACCATCGACGTCTCGCCTAGCCCGTCGCTAGCCGATTCGCCCGAGAAAATTTTAAACGCCGATAACCGTGACGTACATCGGTTCGATGTACGATTTTCTGGTACCGGCGTTTCCGGAAAAAATTAAAGTGGGATTGGAAATAGATTTTAAAAACGAGTGGGCGAAAAATAAATGTTTTCCAAAAAACGCACTACAATTGACCGATAAAATATTAAATGGCTTTGCATTCGGACGGTCCGATACGTGTGCTAAACAACAACAGCGATACATATGCATGATAATGGTGTAAAGCTAGTGATGTGACGCGCGAAGGTTTTCCATTGGAAATTTATGTACGATGATGAAAAATAGCACATAGTTTTCTTTCTTTTTTTTTCGGGGTTGACATAAATCTTAAAGGTCACGACATTATTAAAATTGGACCCTTACCGCTTTCACGCGCTCCGTGCTCTGGGGAGTAAAAGTTATTTTAGATCTCTATTCTTCCGTCGCCGTTATTTCTTTTTCTCTCCGTTCTCTCTCTCCTATTCTCTGGTATTCTTTTATTTTTTATTTTTTGTTTTTTTTTTTCTTCTTTTACTGGCTCCGTATCCTGCACGCCGATAACATTATTTATTGCCGACCAGCTTAATACCGTTGAACGGCATTTGAACCGCCGACGCAGTTTATCGTCGATGCGGATCATCGATACAAAATCGAACACACACATGCGCGCACGCACACACACACTGATCTCGCTACTTTAAAAACGTGGTTTTATAATAGCAATATTAAGAGGTGTTTGCCGTCTTCATATCTTGCGCGTTGCGTTCAATTGATGTTTAAAAAAAAAAAAAACGGATTGAACGTTCACCGAATGCAATATCATGATGCTCGTCTGGTCAACCGCGGTAGCATCATCGCAGACGTCGTCGTCGAGTGTTCAGCAACGTAACAATACTATTAACACGCGAAAGGAGAGGGGTGAAAGAATAATAAAAAAACGAATTGAAACATCGACAGCGAGGGACTCGTTTTCTAGTAATGATTGACGTCGAATTGATTGTGAAAACCTTTATAATAATTATTATTATTGCTTAGACGCATCGGCGGTGAACGAGGTCGCAGAGGATTTTTCTGTGAATAATTTTATATTTTTCATTATCATTCGGGTAGCTGAAGGTGAACGAAAATTGTAGACGATTTCATTAAATGTATTGAGTACATTGTGCACGAGGCGCGAGTTGACGAGCGGGCGCGGCAATAAATTGAAAATAACGACTACTAATGGTGAAGTGCACGCAGTTTCCGTGCGGGAGAGAACGATTTAGTTTGCCGGCTCGACGACAAAAGAGCACGAAAAAATAAAACGTAAAAAACGCCGTGGAAAAAAAGAAGAAAAAAAAAACAAAGAACACTGTTACAAAATGCTATCCCATCGTTGGAAAGCTTGGGTTATGGTAAAGTAAAAACGAATCGGCAAGATAAAAACGGTGCCGATGCAGATCATTTGTATCGGGAAACAAGTTGATTTTCTTCGTTTTTAGATGGAATCATATTAAATGTACACCGTTCGTTTCCAACAAAAGAGGTACAATAACTCTTCCGGTATTACGATGCGTTCCGTCCGAAAATTTTAATACTTCAATGACGTGTTAATATACGTACATTATTTTTCATTATATTATTAACCATGTGTACTAATATTATAAGCCTGAAATTCTGAAAGTATTAAATCTCCATCGAATAAGAATAACGCGATTGATATAATAAACTAAAAAAAAAAGCATTTTATTAAATCTATTTTTATAGTTAGGTAAATGTTATTTTAATTTCATTGATTTATTAAAACTATAATTCTCAAATATCTATGGCACTGTCATCAATTAATTTATACATTTATCTAAAACAAAAATATCAACTTAATTCATTTTAAACAATGAACTAATGTGTATTATATTATTTTTCGAATTATACCACGGTTATCTTTATTACGAATGACAAATTTAAAATTCCCTATGGTGTTATAAACATTGATTTTATAATTCATAAAAATCTTTTTTATGATCAATGCTATAAGAAACAATTCAAAAATCCAAAAATTACTTAAAATAAACCGTGAATAACGTGAAAAAAATTAAACTAAAAAGAGACTATGCATATATATAATTTTAAGTGAAAGATATTTAAACTTAATATTTATACTTCAACTTTCTGTCAATACACAAACACAAATATTTGGAATTAAGATTATTATAATTATTAAATACAACCAAGCGTGCCCTTGAACTCAAAATGTAACAACTTCTACAAATACAAAATGTTTTGTATTTTAAGTGTGTGTATGTGTGTGTGCAAACGTGCCGTTTTATTATTTTCGGTAGTAACACAATGACTTATAATGTGGATCGATGAAAAGTACCAGTTACTGTTTCAAAACTTTTGACTCAACTTTATATATTATGTGATATCGACCGACAAACGACTCGCTAAAATTCGAGTGAAAAAATTGTAACTATTACTATACGCCCCTATAATTTTATTTATTTTTTCGAATATTTTACAATATGTACATAGTGTGTGGTACAATAATTACGAGTTATGATTATTTATTAAATATTTATTAGTTGAATCGGTGTTTTAAACATAAATCATCTGTTAATCCACTTTAGCATTGGTTTTGGGTATGGTGGTGTTTACAATTTTAGATTAGATTAGGCACCGGAACCATCATCTCTTGAGTCTTTTTGAAAGGTTTTTAAAATTATTTTAAATATTTTAAACATGGGGTTGTTGTCATTTGGAAATAGGTTTCTAAATTGTACGTAGCGCATTATAGCTGTTCTGGTGTATTGGGAATGTATGGGTCTTTACGTAGAGTTTGGATTGAATCGAACAGAGGGGTATTTGTTACAAATCGTAGTATTTTATTTTGAAACATTTGAATTTTTTGCGTATTAAATTTTTTTATTTGATCCCTATATTTGTATGCTATTTATCCACTTGGGTTTGAGTAAGAGTTTGTAAATATGGATTTTGGCTTTAAGAAGAATTTTTGAATATTGAACTAACTTAATTTACCGAAGCTATCGAAGTATATAGTTTAGTTAAGTTTTATTTCTGTTGCATGGATAAGTTTTCCCCAAGTCATTTGTTTGTCGAAGGTTAGACTAGATATTAGCGATGAGTTTGTTGTTAATGAACACTAGAAGAAATTAGTCTGGGTAGAGAAGAAAAATTGCATGGACTGACATTTTTTCATTCATTTTGACACGCCGATAGTAACATCTACCATGTGGATAGAGTGTTGAGGTATTTTGAAGATTCACTGAAACCATAGGCGGATATTTAGTTGTACTTGTAGGGAGATTGAAGTTTCATATTTCAACCAAATACTTACCTTTTTTTTAACTGTGTTGAACACCAAATATGTATAGCTGCTAGTGTGACACAAACAAATAAATAAATAATTAATATTTACTGTACATTTTATTTGAATGTTATAAATCTATTTTGACTACCAAATATAAATTTGTTTTTTTTTTTTTTATTGTGTTTAATGCATTTTTAATACAATGAGATTTTATTACAATAAGTACTTTACGATAATGTAAATAATATGACTTACTCAGGCACGTAGCCAAGGGGAGCGTTACCCCAAGCATGCATGTATACAT